CATGAGCCAAAGAGAATGTGACTCATTATTTGTGGCTGGGTGATTTGTTCATTAGAATACTCTTCTATTATTGTCTCTTTTCCCCAAACTTAAAGCTAACCTAGTGTTCTGTAAAAATTTTAACATTTCTGGTATACTGTAGTTCCTAATATGTTTTAGGCAAGTAAACATGCAATATCACTTTGAGAGGAGAGACTATATAATAGCCAGAGAATGCCCAAATTAAATACAACTGCCATGAACTATTTTATATTATCTTTAAATTAATTAATTCTGTAAACCTTATCTGAAAAGATAGCTCTCTGAAGAGTTAACATGGTTGAAGCCAGCCAGAAAGAGGAACTATTGATCTTTATATGATGTTAAAAGTACCATTCAACCAAGTTTCACTTTAATGGCAGGATAAGCCTATGTAAGCTGTAGTTCTGTGAAACATTCTGATAGCGAGTCGCACTGTACAATGTGAACTTTAAAAGGCAAGTGGAATGCTCGTTTTTAGTTAGACTAAAATGCAGTAGGGTGTAATGCAATATCATTCTTCAGTTACAATGAAGGCATTTTATATAAATTATTTCTGATACCAAAGAAATAATGTCACAAAAATAAAATGGCACTAAATATTAGTAAGTTAACTGAATGAAAATAAACTTGGAAGACAACAACACATTGACTTTATATTAACGCTAATTTATTTGCAGGAGACTTATGACAGCCATTTCATTTGAGGCTCTGTCTACACTTTAGTTATGTCGCTTTAATGAAAGCACTTTCATTGAACTCCTGTTGAATATCCATGTGATGGCAAAGGGCATCTACACTAGCAGCTCTTGGAAGAGAGAGTTGGGAAAGGTTTGCAATGCTTCATGTGTGACAGGCACAGCATCACTTGATGCAGGTTTCACAATCCTATTATTTTATAGGCATCCTGCACTTTTCAACTGAAGGTGGTGGCGGGACAGGGAGCGTATATGTGGGAGGCAGTGTGTTGGCATTAGAGATGTTAGATATCGGATAATAGAAATATTGAGTAACTGCACAAAATGTTATCAGTTACTCAACTATTCAATAATCCCCGAGGGCGGGGCTGGCAGCCAGTATAATGCAGCCCTACTCCCGGGGAGCCCCTTGCCATCCCGCAGTACTGGGTGCCAGATGGGAACCAGTCCACGAGGGGACCCAGTTTAAAAATCAGCTTCCCATGCAGACTGGCTGCCTACAGTCCCACACTGCTGCCTCTGAAACCAAGGCAGCAGTGCAGGATGGCACCAGCCGCGGTCCGTAGGGAGTCGGAGCTCCACACAGACAGAGGCTGCTTGGGTGGGGTGGGGGAGGCTGCTGCAAAGTACCCGCTGTCTGCAGAGGCCCAGGCTGGCCGCAGACAGAAGCTGGTCCGCCAGCAGCCCTGTCCAAGTTGGGACCCGCTGCAAACAGGGGCTGCTGCTAGGGACCAGCCTGCAGTGAGCCCAAGTGGGGATGCAGAGCAGCCTCTGTCTGTGGGGAGCTCAGATCCCCCACGGACAGGGGATGCTGCCACAAAGCAGCCTCTCTCTGTGGGGAGCCTAGGCCTGCTGTGGGTAGAGGCTGCTTTGAGGCTGCCACTCTGTAGCAGAGGATCAGGGGGACAGGCGGCACCAATGAGAAGGTGTTGGGGGAAACTTTTAAGCTGGCTCCCACTTCCTCCCACCCTTGCTGCCTCTCAATCAGAAGTAGCAAGGAGGGGGGGAAATACAAGTAGTTGAGAAGATTAACCGATAAGCCTAGGCTTATCGGTTAATTGTCTAGTTGACTACTCGTTTACATCCCTAGTTGGCATGCTATCTTTAAAGTTCAGCCAGCCACCAGAAGCAACCAGTCATGAGGAAGCAGAGGGGAACACCTCTAACATCAGTCTCCATGTCCCTTCCCAGCTCTAAGGAACACAATAGTGATTCTTTCACACACACCCCTACACACCTGCCAACCTGACTCTGTGTTCATCGTGCAGGAGAGAGGAGCATTCCCTAGTAGTAATTTGCTCTGTTGTCATAGCTGAGTGGTCTGCTTAACTGTCAGAACCAAGTTCAAAACAGGGAACAGAGTAGTCACACCAGGCATTATGGGATGCTGGGAGAAGCCAGTTATGATATAATGCGTTGTCACTTTAAGTTTGCCATAAAAAACTTTGCGCCTCTCATTGAGAGGGTTTTATTTTGTTACTGAAACCAAAGAGTTGTGTTACCAGAGGTGGCAATATAGCGTGGACACTGTTTATTTGCCACAAGTCACCTTTTGGTGATAAAACTCTGTTTTGTAAACAAGGCCTAGGTAACAATAGCGCTCACGTACATTTTTAAACGCGTTAAAACAATTAATAAGTACTAAACTAGTAATTTAAAAACTCCATAAACATAATTCATATTGTATTTTGCCTAAAAATGTTAAACAACTCTCTACCTCCAGACTGCATCCCTCTGTCAGCAGAGGGATGCAAATAAAGCACTTCGAAAGTGCAAATGAGCCCGGGATTTAAATATCCCGGGCTTCATTTGCATACTCACGTTCCGGTGCTGTGCTGATCACGCGCCGTTTTGAAAGTGAAAGTGCTGTGTAGCCGTGGTTCTGCCAACAGTGGGGACCTTTTTCGACAGATCCTGTACTCCTCATTTTTTGGAAATGCTCCCCGCTGTTGGCAGAACCACAGCTACACAGCACTTTCACTTTCAAAACGGCGCGTGATCAGCACAGCACCGGAACGTGAGTATGCAAATGAAGCCCGGGATATTTAAATCCCGGGCTCATTTGCACTTTCAAAGTGCTTTATTTGCATCCCTCTGCCGACAGAACAAGAACCTCCACTATGAGCTTCAAGAACAGACTTGAAAGATAATACTTTTCCTTATACCTCTTATAAATTTCTTCTCATCCCTCTGGGACATTTTGTTTTATATTAGGGTCTTGATGGCAGCAGGGATCTAATAACTAAAATAAAATGTGGAAGAGTATGATTTTGTAATAATGCATCTGCAAGGTGTATTGCAATGTCAGTGAAACTGTGATAGAAAAGGTTTAAATTTTAACAATACAAAGGGGCAGGTTTATTTTGTTTTTCATCCAGTAAATGTATTTTAAAATGTAAACATTCAAAGAGGCTCACTCGGCTGCTGTGATGGTTTAGGAGCTTGGGAGAGTAAATATTGACATTTATTTTTGGATGGTACATATACACACAGGCATAGATTTAAATATCCCCAAAATGTATATGAAATTTGTGATCAGCAACCTAGACAGATGTTTTAGAACAATCATATTCTTTCTTGTTACTGGTCAACACAAAGCACATTTTTAAAATGGATAATGAAGCTAAAGTGTTCAAGATAAAATACATGGTGCTATGCAGCAACGGCCATTTTATTGTGACTTCAGCTCTTCTTTTTATCAGGAGATGTAAAATGGAAGATGCCCTGCTGAGGCTGATTAGCTAACAAAAAGGAACTGACCTACCTCAAACTACTCTTTACCACAGGTAAACTTTATATCCATCAGATCAAACAGATTTCACAAACACATCATTCTAAACAAGACTTGAATCAGTTTGATAATTCATTTGTATGAGAAACTGCCTATTCTTTGGATAGAAGTCTGAGAGGAGTAGCCATGTTAATCTGTAACTTAAAAAATACAAACAAATAAAAACCTTAAAAACTAACCAAAAATATATATAGACAGTATCACGAGCTTTCATGGGCACAACCCAAGAAGGGGATTGTACCTCGAAAACTCATACTATTTATACATATTTTTGGTTAGTCTCTGAGGTGCTAAAGGACCATTAGTGGCCAGAGAGAGAGGGGTTGACAAATGTAGCGAGCAACCCCCTACTATTCTATGGATGTAATTTTTAAAAATATTGTCCACATGTAGACATGGCAGTGGGAGGCTTCAAACTGTGTAATACTGTCTGTTCACACTGTAGAAACCATTTCTTTTTTAGCTAGAAGCCATCTTGTATAACAAAAACCATTTCAGCTTTTCTCTTTGGCACATAGACCAGAGTGAACTTTCTGTCACCCCGTGAGAGGAGGCCTACAGGATGGTCTATTGGTATGTGTTAATTGGGCTGGTTGGGACAGGAGATGTACTCCCTCGTACCTGTCTGCCATCTTGCTGATAAGGCTTTGTTTTTCCAAGTTTAATTAATGATTTCTGTAATTGGATGCCCTGACGTCAGACTGTTTGGCTTAGGGTATAAAGATACTAGGATTGATTGTATTAGCCAGCCTTACTAGGCCCGGCTCTGCTGGGACCACGTTTGGCTCACCTAGCTTTACTGATCAATAAAGCTGTCTGTTTAGCCACGTAAAATGTGTGAGGCTTTTGCTTCGACAACACAGTCAAGCATCTCTCTCTTATGCCCTTGTCAAATAGGCAGTCCAAACTAATGGCTGTCAGGGAAGGGTTATTTGTTTCAGATGGAAAAACAGTTTTCTGACTGTATGCAGTTCATTTGTAGTACCCCAAGTCACCCTCATTGTTGGAGCTTCTGCGCCCTGAAGAGATTATAGTTTAAAAGACAGAACATATAAAGAGGCAGAGGGAAAAAAGACAGACAATATACACATGGTGATCAAGTAACACATCTTACTACATTTGTGTGTATGCATACACATAGTATTGCCAGCTGTTCAGATCTCTTTTTCAATTTTAACTGTAACTCCTTTAACTGTTTGGTCCTGCCATGAGGACAGGAGGTTGGACTAGATGATCTCTCAAGGTCCCTTCCTGTTCTAGTATCCTATGATCTTACTTAATTTCTATTCTTCTTCTAAAAACAATGTACTGCTCAACTAGTACAAATTTACCCTAACTGCTTTTGCTTTTTAAAATAAAAAGTTCCTTCTTATGCCAAACCCAAAATAAAGCTTGAACTCCAACAAATGTCCCCTTACTGCATCCTATGATATGAGCAATTCACATCAAAGTGCTGAAAAGAAAAATCAGTTAAATTAAAAAAGTAATTGTACCTGCTTTATGAAACTTTTCCATCAGCTCGTGCCGAACTAACTTCTCCAAGTTAAAATAGTCATGGTCTTCATCTGGGTTTTGTAGAAATAGAGGAATATGCTGAAAAACTATTACATGTTTACACTTCCTTTTTTCAGCTACAGCTAGTTGTGCATTAAGCCATTCATCTTGGTTCTGCTTTAACTCAGGACTTTTAGAAGAATCGAAGTATAACTGAGAGTTAAGCACAAGAAAGAAAACCCCTCCGACCCAAAAACTGAAGTAATCATCTCCCCAGTGCTTGCAATAATCATCTATTGTTTCCGGGGTTGGAACATTGCCAATATCATGATTTCCGCTGACAAATACCAATGGAATGTCTTGGTCAAGGTTCTTCAGGACATTTTTCAAATCTTGTTCTTGGTCCTTTCGCCACTGAGTTCCTATAAAAAGAATTAAGTTATTTTACTTTTTATGTTTATGCTACACTCTTCCACCACCAACTGTTGTTTATACAGACAGCATGGATAGTAAAATCAAATGCCACAACTGACCTGATAAAGGAACTATGCAGAAAATGTAAAATTTTATTCTTTAATTATCTTTTTAATGTATCCAGTCATTTACGCCAGACACCTTCTCTGAAGTCTTTTCATTCATGCCTCCTTCCTTCCTTCCATAGTCATTATCCTACCATTCTCTATACCTTCCAATGCACAAGGCTGCCGAAGACAATCTGCAGTTGCATGGTTATTATTTTACATCAAACATCTTTCCCATCATACAGACTGACAATTCATTGAGAAAAATTTAGAATAATTGGAAGATGGGGTTCAAGTTTCTGTACAAGGTAGCAACCAATGAAACATCTGGTTTACACTTTATGGCTAAATAAAAGAATTGAGATTTTGTTCATTACTAGTCCTACTTCAGAAAAAGGATAACTGTCTTGTAGAAAGTCATTTAGATAGTATAAGAATATTTTAACAGTTAATAGAACATGGGATTATTACTAGTGACTTAAAAATGCAGGGTAACTGTAAACTTTAACAATTTGTTCCACCCCTTATCTCTGTCTTTAGCTGACAGGAAGTCCTATTTCTCTCAGGACGGGGAATTTAATCTCTGAAGAAATACACATGATGTCATGAAGAAGAGGAGTTTTTGAAGAGCATTTTTATTTATTTTACATTAAATAAAACTATAAGATGATTCCACTTTTGAGAAAAGAATGCTTATTAAAAATAGATACAGTTGCTATGTGTTTATTACACATTATTTAAACTATTAAATGTCTAAAAAAAGTGTTTTACTTAAACAATGTTACAAAGGTAAATTTCACACACTTGGATTTTAGAATTCAAGAAGCCGTTTTATAAAACTGGATTTGAATTTTTAAAAAAAGTCTTTATTTTTTGAAAGGTTTGAATGGAGACTCACATTGCAGCGCTGTCCATAATGTAATAAGTATGAAACACATGTTCACTAAAACAAATTTGAGAATTTGCAGCTACATACATTTTATATAAAATCTATTTCAAATTCTTTTTAATTGTACCTATCATTATAAGGTTTATACATTTTCTTTTTCATGTTTTTTCAAAGTTTCTGGAGTCTGAATATGGACTTTAAATAAATTTTACTACAGGTTGAACCTTTATAATCCTGGACTACCTAGTCCAGCAACATTGGTCGTCTGGCAGGACCACGGATGTTCCAGGACCAGAGACCTGGTGGACGGCTGGTGGCTGGGCTTCCCACTGCTGGGCTGCCTGATGCGTGGAAACTGAGCAGCCAGGCACAACGCAGAGGGGCTGCCTGGAAGGGCCAGGAACTCAGCGATCCACAGCAGGGCTGCCCCATGGAGCCAGGACCTTAGTGCACTGCAGAGGGGCTGCCCGGCAGGACAAGGAGCTCAGTGCTCCACAGCAGGGACAGGCGCCTAGCATACAGGTAGCTGAGCAGGGAAGGAGTGGGGAGGAGAGAAGGAGGTGGGGAGACTAGCAGGGCAATGAGGCTGGCAGCAAGGGGAAGCTTGCCAGGAGGCTGGCAGCTGATCCAGGGCTGTGGGGAGCCAGTAGCAGAGGCGACAGATATGACCTCTCCTGGTCTGGCAAATGACCTCATCCAGGACCAGTCAGGTCCAAGGGTGCCAGATCAGGGAGGTCCAATCTGTAGTCTCTTTTAAAAAAGGAACTGAACATTTAACAAAAGCAGAAGCTTAAAATAATCAACATACAACTTTTATTTTGAATCTTTAACAAAATGTCAGAGCTTTACTCTAGTGCTTTACTACTATCATTGGGATTCTGTACTGGTGTGGGGAAAAAAAACTAGAAAAATGCAAATGGGTTCATGGCAGAAAAAGTCTTTACACTTTATTGACAGCAATGCAATGGTTTCCTCAACTAGTACAGTATTATCTATAGAGCAGTGTTTCTCAACCTTTTTTTTTTAAATAAAGTACCCCTTTTTCAAAAAAATAAAAATTATAAGTATCCCTAGTACCTGCAGATTTCAGATACCACACATTTTTTCTACCTCATTGCAACACATTTGTTTAAACAACTTAATCATAGCTGAGCGGGTGATGAAATGTTTGGGTGTAAAAAACACAAAAATAATAAAGCACTGTAAAACTTAAAACAAAAATTCAGTTTTCTCCAAATTTCAGTTGTATTGACGTACCCTCCAGACTTCTCTCAAGTATCCCTAAGAGTACTTGTATCACTGCTTGAGAAACACTGCTATAGGGAAACAGATGCACAGGGTGCTTACAACAACAAAATTAGTCATCAAAACAAAAAACAGGGTCTCTGCCCTTAAAAAACTCTGGTGGCTATATTAGTGGTCAAAAGAATAGTTTTAGGATAATTAAATACTTTTTGTCTGGACCTTTACTAAAAATATGAAACATTTTATATATACAGGCAGTCCCCAGGTTACATGGATCCGACTTACATCGGATCCCTACTTACAAACGGGGTGAGGCAACCCCGCACTAGCTGCTTCCCCCCAGCAGACCAGGGAGACGCGAAGCTAGTGCTCCCCCCCCCTCCCAGCAGAACAGGGAGACGCGGAGCGGCTTTTCTCAGCAGACACCTCAGCTTGAGAATAAAAGACTGAGGGAAGTGAGGTGTGGGAGAATAAAAGTGAGCTCTGGAGAAATGTTTGGCTAGAGTTTCCCCTACAATATGTACCAGTTCCGACTTACATACAAATTCAACTTAAGAACAAACCTACAGTCCCTATCTTGTACGTAACCCGGGGACTGCCTCTGTGTGAAGGGAAGGAGAGGAAGCAGGAGCATGGCGCTCCCCAGGAGTGGGGCCAGGAATGCACTGGCTGCTGGCCATGCCCCTGATGACCATTGAATAATCCTGTAACCACTAAGATTTGGTGTGGTTACACGATTATTAAACACCATCTAACATCCCTACTTTAAACTAGGTTTGTCGGGGGATGGTGACCTAAGCCCTGAGGTAAGACGGAAATGGAACTCTGGGAAGAAATACAAAAAGGAAGGAGCAACAGAGGAGAACTCCTGATTTGTATTTAGAAAATAGGGCAATCAGCTAGTTATCTAAGGTGTCTGTTCACAAACACAAGAAACTTGGGAAATAAGCAGGAAAAAGTGGAAATCCAGACACAGTCGATGAACTATAATTTGACTGGAATAACTGAGATTCGGTGGGACGACTCAAATGACTGGAGCTCTGTAATGGAAGTGTATAAACTGTTCAGAAAGACAGGTAGAGGAGTTGCACTGTATGTAAGAGAGCAGTATCATTGCTCAGAGCTCCAGTATCAAATGGGAGAAAAGCCAGCTGAGAGTTTTTGGGTTAACGTTAGAGGTGGAGCAACAAGGGTGATGTCGAGGTGGGTGTCTGCTATTGATCAGGTGGATGAGGCAGACAAGGCTTTCATCAGACAACTAAAAGAACCTCCAGATCACAGGCTCTGGTTCTCCTAGGGGACTTTAATCATTCTGGGTATGTCTACACTACACAGTTAATTCGAACTAACGGCTGGTAGTTCGAATTAACTTTGATAGGCGCTACACATATAAACCGCTAGTTCGAACTTAATTCGAATTAGCGGAGCGCTTAATTCGAACTAGGTAAACCTCATTCTACGACGACTAACGCCTAGTTCGAATTAAGTAGTTCGAATTAAGGGCTGTGTAGCCACTTAATTCGAACTAGTGGGAGGCTAGCCCTTTCCAGCTTGCCCTGGTGGCCCCTCTGGCCAACACCAGGGAAACTCTTCTGCCCCCCTCCTGGCCCCGGAGCCCTTAAAGGGCCACGGTCTGGCTACAGTGTTTGTGCCAGTTGCAAGCCTGCCAGCACCCAGCCAGCAGACCCTGCACCTGGCACGCCATGAGCCAGCCACCCGCTGCCACCCAGCCCTCTGCCTCTTCCCAGGATCAGGCTGGCGGCTCCCAGGAGCCTGCCCGGGGCCGCAGGAGGCGGGTGCCCGCCTGGTCAAGTGCAGAGATCGTGGACCTCATCGAGGTTTGGGGGGAGGCCTCCAACGTCCACGATCTCTGAACTAGCCACAGCTAGCACACGGAGGCCACTCTGGCACACGGAGAAGTTCCGGTACACCCGTGCGTCGTGTGCCTTGCCGAACCAGCCCACATTAATGTTCGTGAACTGGCCCCAGTGGTCACACACGGCCTGCAGGAGCACGGAAAAGTACCCCTTTCAGTTGACGTACTGGGACGCCTGGTGCTCCGGGGCACGGATAGGGATGTGCGTCCCGTCGATGGCCCCCCCGCAGTTGGGGAAGCCGAGGGCGCCGAATCCCCGGATGATGGCATCCGGGTCGGCGAGGCGGACCACCCTGCGGAGCAGCACCCGGTTGATGGTCTTGACCACCTGCGGAGAGACACAGCACAGCGCCAATCAGTGGGGCGCCCGGGTGGCTGGGAGCGTTCGTGCCCTGGCAGTGCCCCGCGCCCCACTCCCAGAAGCAACCCCACTGGCGGCGC